AGAGGGAGGGGGGGGGGGGGGGGGGGGCGTACTCATTTGTTGCTTGCCGTAGTCATTTGACCATTGACCACGCGTCCCTTTCGAGACGGAGCTGTGGGGGGGGGTTCGCAGAACTACGACAGCGGTTGTCGATGTTGTCGATATCGCTGCTGAGAATGGTGGCAAAATCCCTTGAGCCGCAACATGAGACAGAATGACGCAGCCACACGCTCGAACAACGTCCCTCCTTACCCACCGTCGACCACATCAAAATGGCAATGGCCAAACATCCTACAAGTCCCTACCCCCCCCCCCCGATACCACTTGCCGCTTGTAACACGCCCAAAAACGGGTCCCTCCCCCGGCCGAAAAAACCTCCACCTCCACCAGGAAGTGAATGTCCCGAGAAAAAGCAGAACCAACCTTCCTCCAGCCCCCTCCTCCATCGACCACGTACCCGACCACTACCGCACGGTAAATACCCCCGGCCCCCTCCCCGGCCGCGGCACTCCTTGCAGAGGCGGTGTCGAAAACGCCTCCGCCGAGCTCAAGCCCGCTCTCCTCGGGGGCAGGGGACAGCCGCAAAGCGTCCCCGGGTTTCGTGCTTCTTGGAGAGGTGTCCTTGGCACGGGAGCGCCTCGAGAGAAAGAGGCCTGGGGAAAGGTCGGCGGAGCCGATGGCCGGGGAAAGTGGTCCGCCTTCCCCGCCCCTCCTTCCTCTGACTGGGGACGCTAATGACGATGTTTTGGCGGATACGCACCGACCCGAATTGTCCACCGTCCCCACGTGCTGGGTGGTCAGGGCTTCCTTTTGCCGGATAAACTCCGCCTTTTTCGTGTCGTGACGCACAGGGCGGGGGGGGGGGGGGGGGGGGGGGGGGTTTTTTTTCTTAAACGGGAAAGACATCCGAAAAAAAAAAAAAAACTCCCAAAAACCCAAAAAAAACATGGGCCGAATCCCCTGGGGCATAAAAATCCCGAAAAAAAAAAAGGGGAAAAGTTTTTTCCGCCTTGGAACTACCGGGGGGTTCCAACAAAAGAAAATTACCCCCAGCTATCCCGGGGTTTTTAAACGCCACTTTTTTACGGGGGGGGGTCCACTCCAACGAAAAAGTCAAAAATCCCCCCACGAAAAACAGAGGATGGGAACCCAACCCACCCTTTTTCTCAAGTGGGGCCTTTTCCCTCGTCAAAAAAAAAAGGAAAACCCCATTGGGGCAAAT